AACCATCTCTAGGGTTTACAGAGAATGGTCCGAAAAAGAGAAAATATCCAGTCAGTGGCAGTTGTGTGGATGAAAATACCTTGTTGATGTCAGAGGAGAATGGGCAGACTGGTTTGAGGTGATAGGCAACAGTAACTCAAATAACCACTCGTTACAACCAAGGTATGCAGAATACCATCTCTGAACGCACAACACGTCGAACCTTGAAGCAGATCAGCAGAAGACCACACTGGGTTCCACTCCGGTCAGTTAAGAACAGGAAACTGAGGCTACAATTCGCACACCAAAACTGGACAATAGACGTTTGGAAAAAGACGTTGCTTGGTTTAAGTCTCAAATTCAGATGGTAGGGTGAGATTGGTGTAAACATGAAAGCATGGATCCATCCTGCCTTGTATCAATGGTTCAGGCTGGTGGTGGTGTAATGGTGTGGGGGAGATTGGCACACTTTGGGCCCCTTAGTGCCAATTGAGCATCATTTAAACACCACGGCCTACCTGAGTATTGTTGCTGGCCATGTCCATCCCTTTATGACTACAGTATACCCATCTTCTGATGGCTCCTTCCAGCAGGATAATGCAGCATGTCACAAAACTCATCTCAAACTGGTTTCTTGAACATATCAATGAGTTCTCTGTACTCCAATGGCCTCCATGGTCACCAGATCTCAATCCAATAGAGCACCTTTGGGATGTGGTGGAACAGGAGATTCGCATCATGGATGTGCAGCTGACAACTGCGTGATGCCATCATGTCAATATAGATCAAAATCTCTGAGGAATGTTTCCAACACCTTGTTGAATCTGTTATGAAGAAGTAAGGCAGTTCTGAAGGCAAAATGGGGCCCAACAGGGTACAAGCAAGGTGAACCTAATAAGTGGCCGGTGAGCAATTTAGAATGTTGATGAGTGTGCTCTCTGATTTTTGGAGGAACTGTAAGAGCTGATGCACACGTGCAGTGCGGATTGAAGCTCGGGTTTCACAGCTAATTGATACAGTAGCTGTTCACATCAGGTTCAGGTCAGGATTAGCTCAGGATCTTATCCTGTTCACACATATGCGGTTTAGGAATGGTTCCCATAGAAGTCAACAGCCTGCAGCTGAACTTGAAGCCACTGCTGAGAATTTGGACACGACTCTTTAAAACTGCACTGAATATGCACCAGACATATGTGAACAGGCACCATAGGAAGAAATAATATTTCACGTTATGCATATTGGATGGGGTTCAAACCGTATCCAATCTGCATATATGTTAACGGGAACAAAGTGATGTTGCCCAATGGCAGGGTCTTATTTGCGTGATACAAGTGTTTGGTGCACTGTCTATGAGAAGTTTACATCAGATTGTCTTATCTTCCAAACAAGCAATCAATGGGGTTTGATGCTGTTTCCGGTATGCAGATTTTGACAAATCAACAAGCCACTTTTTTGGTCTCTAGTGATGCACCGATATATCAGCTGTCAAATTATCAGCCGTAAAAGGGTTATTGGTAATTTTGGTGATAATAGACTTCAATGCAAAATTGCATCCCGTTGACTTCAATGCAAAAACTCCTTTAATTTTTATATATAATTCTCTGCCCAATTTGTTACTTTCAATATGTTTTATGTTATGTATTTTTTAAATTCATTCATTTAAAGTCGAGTATAACACAAATATATATTTATTTTTTATTATTATACAGTATTTATATGGCACTAAAAGGTTTGCTCAGTGCTGTACATTATAGTGGGGGACAGAACATGAGACAATACAGTAACAAAACAAAACACGAGGGATTCAAGGGCCCTGCTCTTTCGATCTTACAATCTAGGAGGGAGGGGATAGTGGTACAGGAGGAAGTGGCTGTGGGGGATGGTGGTGGGAGGAGAGGAGGAGATCGGCTGTTAGGTGAGGGTGGGGTAGGCTTCCCTGAAGAGATGGGTTTTCAGGGTGCGCCTAAAGGTGAGGAGAGTAGGTGAAAGTCTGATGGATTGGGGTAGTGAGTTCCAGAGGATGGGAGAAGTCCTGCAGTCGGGCGTGGGAGGTGGAGACCAGGGAGCTAGAAAGTAGGAGGTCTTGTGAGGAACGAAGATTACGGGTAGGGTGGTATTTGGGTATCAGGTCGGTGAGGTAGTTTGGGGCAGTGTTATGAATGGCTTTGTATGTCAGTGTTAGTAGTTTGAATTTAATGCGTTGTGCAATCAGGAGCCAGTGGAGGGAATGACAGAGGGGGGTGGCAGAAGAGGAGCGGTTGGTAAGGAGGATGAGTCTGGCCGCTGAGTTCAGGATCGACTGCTATGAGTTAGGCTGGTGAGGAGGGAGTTGCAGTAGTCCAGACGTGAGATAATAAGGGAGTGAACGAGTTGTTTAGTAGTGTCTGGGGTTAGGAACGAACGTATTTTGGAGATGTGGAGCCTGCATGAGTTTGCCAATGATTGGACATGGGGTTGGAAGGACAGGTTTGAGTCTAGAGTGACACCTAGGACTTTGGCTTGCGGGGTGGGACTGATGGTGGCGTTGGTCGTGATGGAGAGGGGGGGGCACGGGCTGGGGGGAAAATCGGGAGCTCAGTTTTGGAAAGGTTCAATTTGAGGAAATGGAGCGACATCCAGTCTGTCGTTCAGTAGGTGGGTGATACGGGCGGAGACTGAAGGGGTGAGGCGAGGGGTTTATTAAAACCTGTCCATATCGGGCAAGTGCACCCATTTTCGATTTCGGTCCAGAATTTTCATTTTGGTGCACCACTAAGTGTAACCAATGCAGCAGGTTTACCTGCTACCCTGCAGAGAACTTGGATAGATGTCTGTCACAGAAAAGCTGTGATTTAGAGTCTGGCTTTACCTTCTCTAATAGGCAAGGTAGTGGCACCCACTGGGGATGTAACTGGATCTCAGGGTGGCAGAATGGTGCAGGTTATGAACCAGTGAATTTAGAAGAGTTAGGCCTTATGGGCATATGGGGGTTTATTTACTAAAGCTGGAGAGTCCAAAATCAGACTCCCTTCTGCATAGAAACCAATCAGCTTCTAACCTCAGCTTGTTCAATGAAGCTTTGGCAATGAAACCTGGAAGCTGATTGGTTTCTATGCAGAAGGGAGTCTGATTTTGGACTCTCCAGCTTTAGTAAATAAACCACATGGTGTCTAAAGAGCCTCTCTGCTGGCAGGAAAATGAGCCTTAAACATGCTAAAAGCGGTGTATGGCACATGGATTTATGCACATAGTGTTTGAGCGGGGAGAAAAAAGCTCCACCTTTTTTTTTATTTTTTTTTTAAAGCTGTGTGTTTAAACCCTTATAATTCATGTTTGGCTGCAGTTTCTCTAAACATTAGCAAATGAGAATTTCAGTTACTGGTATTTGAGAATGATTGCGCTTTTTTTTTTCCCTCTCCCTGCATTTAGGCCAAGGCGAAGGCTCCACCCAAGGCCAAGGCGAGGCTCCACCCAAGGCGAAGGCTCCACCCAAGGCGAAGGCTCCACCCAAGGCCAAGGCGAAGGCTCCACCAAAGGCCAAGACCGCACCAAAGGCCTCATCCGCACCAAAGGGCAAAGCAAAAGCCCCAACACAGATGAAGAAGATACCTTCACATCTAACCAAAGGAGGTCTCCCAGGATTCATCAAGAACTTGGGTGGTGGATTCAAGGCTTCAAGTCATGTATGTTGTACATTTGTCTGCTAAATAAGCCTGTGAAGGTTCTTATTCCTGGTCCTAGTATATCTAGTATTGTTTTAAAGCCTTTCTTTCGGGCTCATTTATACTGTAAGCCATTTACATTTGCAGGTATTCACCACTTCAAGTCCGGACACTTTCACTCCCTTCCTGTCCAGGCCAATTTTCAGCGCTATCACACTTTGAATGACCGTTCCGCAGTCATGCAACACTGTACCCATATGAATTTTTTTTGAGACCGATAAAGCTTTATTTTGGTGGTATTTATTCACCACTGGGATTTTTATTTTTTTTGCTATATAAATGAAAGTCAAAAAATTTGGAGAAAAGTGTTTTCTTATAAATTTTTGCAAATAAATAATCTTTCATTATAAATCATGGCCAAAGTTTATTCAGTTTTTTAGTAAAAAAAAAAAAAAACCCAATTAGTTTATAACCAAAAATTATAATTTAAAAAAAAAAATGTTTTTACATTTTTATTTTTTTTTATATTAATGTTTTTTTTACATACTGTCACCCATGGTGACACTGTATTACTTGGGGGTGGTGATTTTTTTTTTTTTTTTACACTGATCGCTTTTACATCCATAAAGGCTGTAAAAGCAATCATTTCCCCTTCTCTCTGGCTGCATTCTTGCAGCCATTGAGATATACTGCGTGAGCTGTGATTGGTCACAGCTTGTCACATGGTACAAGGCTGTTGTAATAGCCCTGTACCATGTGACCTCTGTTATCATTCACAGATTTCACTCGTAAGCAATGATGTCAGGAGTGACATTTTGCTTACTACTCTGCATGTGATCACTGATTGGCTAATCGGTGATCACATGATCGGGACCTCGCACAAAGGTTCCGTATGACGATCGGTGTTCCACTGTGTCTGGAGGATCGCGGTGCTGCATGCTCCCAGGGAGCGCGCACAGTCCAAAAAGGCAGGCACCGTTTATGAGCGGCAACCCACCCCTGGACTGCTTCCCTCCGTTTTATATACAGCGGCCGGACGGCAAGTGGTTAATAGTGCTTCAGCCTTGTTTTAGCCATTACTTTTCTTTGCTGAGTTGACTTTACATGCAGATGCAGTGCGAATGAGTGCAGCATGCTTTACTTAAACATGGGTAAGCACTTCAGGGCTGATATGTTCATTTTTTTTTTTTTTTCTGCTTACATGTTCGTTAAACCTGTAAACGAGCCCTTACTAAAAACTGCATCAGTCTGTCATTGATGACCCTTGGATTTGAGCTTCACTGCTCTGAAACCATTTCACATGCACTACCATCTGAGACAGCAGACTAGAGTAGGGCTGTAATTGCTGTACACATTGTACCCGGTTTGACAGTGTCTCTATTGCAGGTTCTGGTCCTTGATGGCAGAGGACATCTACTTGGCCGTCTCGCTGCCATTGTTGCTAAGCAAGTTTTGCTTGGTGAGTACCGAAACCATTAATTTGTCATTTTTTTTTTGTCTTGTAATGGTCAATGATGAATGTAACTGTCTCTTGTTTGAGTTTCACGGCCATGAGATAACTTTACATGCACTACCATCTGAGACCAACTGATCATGTTGCCATAAGAGAATTAAAAATTGGACTCCAGACAAATGTCTAAATACACAGAAAAAAATGAACGCCAGGATGTTGTACCTACCAAAGAATTTTGTATTTGTCCATCCACTTCTGAGATTTACACAGCCCTCTCTGGGAGGTCTTGATTTTTTTTTTTCTGCTGCAGTAACAATTGTGGGTATTTTCCCTCCTCACCATGAGACAGGACAGTGAAACTGATGAGCTCACATCTCTTTCCTACAATCAGCTTGTTTTTTGCCATTTGGCACAAGGGATTGCCCCTTGTATTGCCTTCTTTTAAGGCTCTGCTGTACAGGAATGGAGAAGTTGACACCAAGCCAAAACTGAGTACGAACACTGTTTGCATTTTAAAGATGTATTCATGAATAAAAGCTGCATTCTTTTGTCTGGAGTTCAGTTTTTATAAAATAGTGGACTAAAAATAAGGGTTTCTGGCCTCTTTTGTGTGTTTGTTTTATTTATTTTTTTAAATATATATATATATATATATATATATTTTTTGTTTTTCTTTAGGGCGTAAAGTGGTTGTCGTGAGATGTGAAGGTATCAACATTTCTGGCAACTTTTACCGCAACAAACGTAAGTAGCATGGATGTTGTGCATACGAAGTGGTTTATGATGGTTTTGGAATGTTGTTCCTTTTACACAATGATCTCTGAAATACAGTAAAGAATCAAAAGCTAGAACTCTTAGGTTTTTGTTAGTAAGCCTGCTTCGCTCACACAAAGAAACTACTTGTCCAAGGACTAAATCGTGTCCCAATCTACTTGTTCTGATAATAAAAACAAAATTTAACCAAAACCTTCTTTAAATGTCAGATGCTTTTAGGAATGTCTGGGGATTTTAAAAACAAAAGGGGCTTTATGGTGACTTGAACGGTTTAGTATTTTTTAAGATTAGGCTGGTTATCTCCTCACCTCCCCTGGAGACCCTCAGGGAGGAGAGAGATTGCAGTGTAATGAGCACCAACTGGGTGCCCCTCAGAAAAGGCGAGTGTCAGCTTATCCTTTATCCCTATCACTGTCAGAACTTTTTTTTTTTTTTTTTTTTTTTTTAGCACTGATCACTGTAATGGTGTCACTTGGGAACCCACACCCCCAGTGACACCAATACAGTGATCAGTGCTTACAAAACAAAAGCACTGACACTGTACTAATGCCACTTAACAGGAAGGGGTTAGCATGAGGGGCAATCAAAGGGGTTAACTGTGTGACGGTTTGTTTTGTGTTTCACTGTAATTGCACTGCTCTGGATGGCTGTGCTGTGCACAGCCATCCAGAACAATGCCTAAGCTGACAGGGAAGGATGACTGTTAGTAAACAAAACAGTCCTTCTCACCATTGGTGATCATCGGAAATCGCCGGGGAGGCACTGGCGAATAATTACCAGGCGGGACCCGGTGATTGACGGCCGCGAATGGCGGCTCACGCGCGCGCCCCCTACCTGGAACTGCAAAATCATGTGTATCGACCCACATGTGATTTCGCACACCCATGCCACCCTGTAGCAGTATTTCTGCTGTAGGGCGGTGGGGATGCGGTTAAAGAATTTTTTTTTTTTTTTTTTGTAAGCATGATACTAAGCAAGATTAATGGACCGGACTACCCTGAATAGCTGGCGTCCGTGTCTCTACACCCCCCCAACCTGCTTTTTTTTTTTTTTTTTTTTTTTTTTTTGCCTGTAATGATGTGCCCATTCAGGTTCACCAGTAAGGGAGGTATTCTTGGTATTAAGATATTAACATCAGTCTGTCCTGGATGTCTACTTCAGTACGGACATTCCAGTAATACTTTTAAGTTGTGGCATTCTTGACAGATTGCGTGCTGTAACTGCATTGTTTAGGGTTAGTGACTGTCTTGAGGTGTGACCTGTTAATTGAATGAACCACCTTTTAATTTTTTTTTGATCAACTTGATTATTTTCATTAGAAAAAGATCAAAACATTGTAGACTGATACTTGCTTGGGAATAAAATGTGCGTTTTACTTTCATGTCTGTTTTTCTCTTGTAGTCAAATACCTTGCTTTCCTGCGTAAACGTATGAACACAAACCCTTCCCGTGGGCCATACCACTTCAGAGCACCCAGCCGCATCTTCTGGAGGACTGTAAGAGGTAACCACGCTCATGCCTTTTTAGTTAACATTTTGGTAAAGGAATGTGGTCTGGATACCCCTGAATACAGCAATGTGTGGTCAGGGCTCTCACCAGTCCCCGGCTCTTCATCCTTCACCTGGTCTTCATTCAGGTTTTACATCTTCAGCCACTTGATTGGCCAGGCCAATGTGATGCCAGTCCCGTATGGAAAGTTGCATTGCTGCGGCCCGCAGAGCGGGACCATAAATTTGGTCTGAGCTGCAAATGACAGGGGGGGGGGGGGGGCATTTGACAGAAGAGACTTCTAGGGTCTCTTCGGTTATAAGGAAAAAAAACATCGTGCTTGTCAGATTTTTTATGTTGCTGACTTTGCTGTCACTTTAATATTTTACATGGGCGGCAAGGGGACAGTAAAAAACAGACGGTTGAACCATGATTTTACTGGCTGCCAGCCTACCTGTCACCACAGGTTAAACTCCCATGTATGGGAATCAGACTGCCACAATGACTAGCCAAATGCTTGGCTCAAACTTGGTGCCTTCCCGCAATGCAGAAATGCCGTTTCAATGATGGAGAAAGTAGGGGGGGGGGGGAAAAAAAGGGCAAGAGGAGCTGGCCGTATCGCCTCCTAAACCCAATCCATGCTAGGGTATAGTCTTTCTCAAAGGAGCCAGGGTTCCATGGGCACAGATTGTACCTCAGAGCTTGTTGTATAAGCACACTGCATTGAAAGCAATGTCCTCTGATGGACCTCAAGTAACATTAACAGTGGTCTTGTGATCTGTAGGGGGATATCCCTTTAAGTTGCCACAAAGATGAGGCATTATTACCGCTGATCATCATGCTAATGTGTAATAAGCTGTACTTCTTAGCAAGGGTTCTGAGACCAGAAAGTTGTTTTTTTTTTTTTTAAATGTTCCTCCATGTTAAGGTTGAGAGGCTGGGTTACATAATAAGAAAAATGTGTTTTTTTTTTTTTTTTTTTTTTTTTTTTTTTATAATGCCTTTCAGTGGTCTGAGTATATAATAAATGGCTGCGTTGTGTTTTGCACAAATGTTTTCTGGGAATACAGCGTGATAGGATACAACAGTGTGACCAGCTACAGATGGGTACAGCTGCTTGTTTAACTGATCCCCTTTTGCACAGGTATGCTGCCACACAAGACTAAGCGAGGACAGGCTGCTCTGGAGCGACTGAAGGTCTTTGATGGTATCCCACCTCCTTATGATAAGGTGATTAAGGGTTTAAACCTAGTAATTCAACACTACATAAATCATGGGTCTTACAGAAATACATTGACACAATTTTCTACTAACAGAGAAAGCGTATGGTGGTCCCTGCTGCCCTGAAGATCGTGCGTTTGAAGCCAACACGCAAGGTATTTTAATAAAACTGCAGTAGACATTCAGAAATGGCTGTAGCTGACCTATGGTGTGGTCTCATATTGGCTTGAGAATGACAAATCTGACCAAATATTTTGCATGTTTTAGTTTGCCCTCCTTGGCCGCCTTGCCCATGAGGTTGGCTGGAAGTACCAGGCAGTCACTGCTACCCTGGAGGAGAAGAGGAAGGCAAAGGCCAAGCTGCACTATAACAAAAAGAAGCTGGTCATGGTAAGCTGACACATTTTTGTATCTGGAATGTGAATAGAGAGCTAGTACTGATATTTTTGTTAGATTTTCTGTTTAGTGTTTGGGGCTTGATTTTAGGTCCAAGTTGGAGTTTTGGTTGTATTTTTATTTTTCCAGTTCTAAAATTGATATGGAATGACTTTTCAAAGTAACAATATTTGGTTGGAAATCAGACAAAATAGCACCTCCCATCTGTATGCTGTTTATCTGCTGTAATAGGGTATCCATAGTTGAGATACTTTCTTCTGCCATGATACTTTAAAGCTTTATTCTGGGTTAAATTAATACTAAAGGCTCAGCTTGCATTTTTTTTTTTTTGCTCGCAAAGAGTGTAAAATGGTCCAGTACATGTACATAGTCCAGTGTGGCCAAAGACTTGCAGAACTCCCACGTTCTCTGCCGCTTAGTCCTGGTCTCAGAGTGCTGCTTCCCTGAGCTTTGGTGTAGGGGAGGACATGTGCTGAGGATAGGAGGAGCATGTATTTTGAAGAAGTGACTTGCAGATCTATAGTGTGAGGCAGACTCATGCCAGGATCATGCATGCAGGGTCGATTCTGTGAGACACAGTAAGGAGTCACTTGAGCTTTGAATAGCAGTGTGAGAGAACTAGATCCAGGTGGAAGGGAGATGATTTGGATATTGGGATACACCACATTAGAAAAATGGCTTTTAGCATCACTTAAATGCAGAAATGTCCCTTAGATTGACCCCTCTCCCCCCACACACTGCAAGTGTTAAATGCTTGTTTTGTCAAAAGGTAAAGGCATGAACTATACTTGCCTTTTTCTTTGCTCCCCCAGCAACCAATGCTTTCTAAGGCTGTGGGACTGGCAAAGAGGCTTCGGGGCCACTGGTACTGCACTGGTGAAGCCTGCAGAAGCAAATTATAAGGAACGTAAAGCGTCCTGTTACTTGTCCCCTAGAAAACAAGCCTTTATTCCTTGTAGTATTGAGAGGGGAGGCCACTGCAAGGCTAAATTTTGTTTTTATTTTTTCTTACTTATTCCGGAGTTCAGCTTTAATGCCGCTATAACAAATATGAAGCAAGTGTTCAGTTATTGCTTCTTGTTGTTGCTGGGAAAACACTTTTTAAGTCAAGTCGCAACCAAAAAGTAGCTCTGTTTTACGTATGGTTTTTGTAGTTTCTGGAACATTATTGCACATTCTTTTTACTTTTCTTTCTGTAGAAACTGAAGAAGCAAGCAGAGAAAAATGTTGAAACCAAAATTGCAAAGTACACAGACGTCCTGAAGAAATATGGTATCCTCGTTTAAATATGCCCATAGACCTGGAATAAAATATTTGTGAATAGTCCTTGGTTTTTTTTTTTTTTTTTTTTTTTTTTTTGAGTGGAGTAACTTGATGTAAATTTGTGATAGTTTCTTGGGGGTGTAGTGTTTTCATTGGTTTCCAGAAAAGTGATTGTTCAAACCCTCCTTTTGAAAGGCTGTCCTTAATCTGTGAAAAAGCACCGCAAGTGCCTTGTACACAGGCTTCGTTATACAGCCTTCTATAGTAGAAAGATATGTGGCAATATTTTGCTGGTTTTGTATCATTACTAAAACTGCATTGTAATGTTACAGGAGGATAATTAAGAAGGCAAATGCTGAAAAATGTTATGCAGTCGCACATGGACATCACTTACAATGCAGTACCAATACTCCTGCATTGTACTCTGTTTTACATGGTAAAGGCATGGCTGCATCCTGAAAAACTGGTACCCTGGTGCAGTAGGAATAAGTTAACCGCTTTCTCGCCACCCTATAGCAGATATACTGCTACAGGGTGGCAGGTGTGTGCAAAAGTGTGTGTGTGTACATGATTTCCCAAGTCATCTTCCAGGACAGCCCACAAGACGTAGAGCTCCTCCCATAGGACAGTAAGCATGTTACTCCATAGAGAATAAGAGGTGGCGTATATCAACAAACAGGAACCAGAAGTCCGTGACTGCAGGCAATTGCGAAGAGGATCTTGATGCGAGCAGAGGCCAGTCTAGCTTCAGTCTCGGCCTTACACCTGAAAGGCTCCCAGAACATACTGACAGATTTTCTCAGTCAGGAGTAATGGTCATTTGCTGAGGACATTTTTGCTTGGCTCACGGATATGTGGGGCCAACCAGAGATAGATCTGTTTGCCTCTCAAGCAAATACAAAGGTTCAGAGATTTTTCTCCATGAATCCAGAGGATGAAGCAGTGGCCTTAGATTCTCTGGCAAATCCATGGCCCTACAGTCTAGCTTGTGCTTTTCCCCTCTTCAGTCCCTGAGGTAATATGAAAATTTCAGCTGGAGAAGTTGAATCTTATCCTGATAGTGCCACATTGGCCGAAAGGCCCTTGGTTTGCCTTCCTGAAACTCCTAGCAAGTTGCCCTCCAGTGTTGCTCCACAAAACAGAGGATCTTTTGTCACAGGGTCCTGTTTGTTGTCCAGACTTGGACATATTAAAGCTCTCAATGTGGTACATGAGAGGAGCAGTTGTTAAAACGGGAAGGTTTTTCGGATAGGGTAGTCCAAACATTGATTAACTATCGTAAGCCGGTTACTAGAGCCATCCATTAAGATTTGGAAGAAATGTAATTCTTGGATGACAGAGAAAGGGCATACAGAGACTTCCATTCAGACAATCCTAGATTTCTTTCAGGAAGGAATAGACAAGGGACTATCTCTCAGCACCATAAAGGTACAGGCAGCAGCCTTGGGAGCATTTCTGAAAGTTTCCCTCCTAGGAGATCCAACAGTTTCCTGCTTCTTTAAGTCAGTGGCTAGAATGAGACCGGTGCTTTCGAAGTCCTGGCCTTCTTGGCATCTTTTGTTTTGCAGGTGTTGACGTCCAATCTGTTTGAACCTTGATGGAAGCTTCCATTAACCTGCTTATGTGGCAGACTGTTTTTTAGGTGGTTATCACTACAGCTTGTAGAATAAGTGAGCTGCAAGCTCGATCAATCGGAGAACCTTTCATTCTAGTTTTTGATGAAAGGATTATTCTGAAAACGGACCTGGGTTTTTTGCCAAAATTAGCCACGACATTTCACAGGTCACAAGACATTGTGCTACCCTCCTTTTTGTGCCTCTGCCTCAAATGAAAGGGAAGAGAATTTCAGTTGGCTGGATGTAAGGAAATGGCTCTTGCACTATTTAGGAGTATCCAAACAGTTCAGAAGGTCTGATGCCCTATTTATCCTCTTCTGGCAAATGTTGAGGATTTAAAGCTTCTAAGCCGACTATTGCCAGATGGATCAAGCAAGCCATTTCTTGTTGCTACCAAACCAAGGGGCCATCGATGCCTTTCATTAATGCACATTCGACTAGGGTCTTATCCTGTGCTACTTGGTTGAGCTTCTCGATATTTATCAAGCACTACTAGGTGGATCTCCTGAACAGTCAGAAGCAAACATTTTTGCATGTGGTCCCACCCTAGGTTGGCAAGTTTTTGCTTGGACTTCTCCTGGAAGACAACTTGGGGAAAACTGGAGTTGGACTTACCGGTAACTCTTTCCAGGAGTCTTCCAAGACCGCCTAATTCCTGCCCGATGCATTATGTTGTGTTATGTTTTTCAGGTCTGCCTTCGGCACTTGTGGTTTACTGAGGCTGGAGCCTGGAGTACTGCCTTTTATTCTCGGTGTAGCGTGTTTCCTGTCCTGTGGGAGGAGCTCTACGTCTGGACATAGCAGAGCCATACAAAGCAGTGTGCTTACAGTAAAGTACGGGCATACAGTTATCCTTTTGATCTCTCCACATGTTAACCCCTTCCTGCCCAGTGCCATTAGTACAGTGTCAGTGCTTTTTATTAGCACTGATCACTATTGGTGTCACTGGGGATGTCAGTGATACCAAGTCAGTTCCCCCCCAGTGTCAGAATGCCCGTTGCAGTCTTGCTATAAGTCACTGATCACTGCCATTACTAGTGGGGGAAAAAAAACTCCCAGTGTATATATACCATTTGTAAACGCTATAACTTTCATGTAAACCAATTAATTTACACGTATTGGGATTTTTTTGTAGCAAAGACATGGAGCAGAATACATTTTGGCCTAAATTTATGATGAAATTTGATTTAAAATTTTTTTTTTACTGGACATGTTTAATAGCAAAGAGTCAGTATTTTTTTTTTTTTTTTTAATAGTGCAGAAAATAAAAATCGTACAGGTGATCTAAATACCACCTAATGAAGGCTCTATTCGTGGGGAAAAAAAGGATGTAAATTTAATTTGGGTGCAGCGTAGCATGACCGCGCAATTGTCAAAGTAATGCATAAAAATGGCGTGGTCAGGAATGGGGGTAAATCCTCAGGAGGGCAAGTGGTTAAAGGCTTTTTAGGAAAAAAGTATAATGCACATTTTGTGCAGGAAATAAGTGCATGTGTTTTTTTTCTTAGTCTTGTTTTAGCTTTAAGTGGCACCTTTGGTAAAAGTGAAGTTCTTTAGGAATACAGCCAGGACATAACTAATGGTGAGAGCAAATTACCATTACTGATGAATTCTGCAGTTGTTTCTCTAGTGTTGCTGCTGGCCATGTCATATATTGTTTCTCTAGATTCTGAATATTTATCCCAGCAGCCAATGGTTTGCACTGTCTTCTTATACCCCAAAATTTGTTATTTTGGGGCATACTTAGTTAAGTGCTTGTGCTTCTCTCCACTTTGCTGCTTTTGTATGGTGTTAACTGGATCCCCACATCTGGAAACTCAAAGCACCAATTTAGCCTGTTTCCAGCAGCAGACCATACTCTCGGATAACAGTATTCACCTGACATCAAGGCTGTCCATAGAACATGCAGCTTTGCTCCCTGGAGCGTGCTTTGGATTGGTTCCTGTTTTGCTATCAGCTTGTTAGTTTATTAAACGTAATAAAACGAGCTCCAGGTAGAACATATATTATAAAGCAGCTAGCATAAAAGGCAAACCTCACAATCCTTCTAGTCAATAAAATAGTACAGTATGCAGTGCTTATTAAAATAAGGGTAAATGAACACAAAGTGTATATGATGATAATAAGTATAAATATCCGGCACTATGAGATGCTATAAAGTGCCAAATAATACAATAAAGTGATAATGTCCTTTTATGACATCTGAAGTGCTCGAGGTGATAAAATAAATTAGTCCACACAGCAACTGCCTTATAGGTGCAAATCCGTGATTCCTGTGGTAATAGGTGTAAATTGCACCAACCAGAAAGTGCAATAAGATGCGCATTTGAGTAATTAAGACCAACTCCTGGTCATCTGGATCTGGACAGCAGAACTTCAGGGGGTCATCTGGCAAACCACAGCATGTCACTCAAACCTCAGCATACAGCTCCAGGGATATGACATCCATCCAGAAGGGGGAATCGCTCATACGTGTAGTAGCAATACAAGGGGTTCACCTTGGGGGGCTCACAAAAAACGAGCCAGAGAAATTGCTTCCAACAGTGCAGTATTTATTGCAAATGGGTAAAGATAAATATAAAAAACAGCGTGTGCACTCACATCTGGCATATATCCAAAGACCAAGATGGCCGCCGGCCTTCCACGAGGGGTGTGTGTTGTGACATCACCAAGCGTAGGGCACCTCCCAACGTGTTTCGTGCACGAGCACGTTGTCATAGGGATCAAAATTGTTAGTTTATTAACCACTTGAACGACCATCAATGTACCAGTGTATCACTGGACTTAAAGCGGAGTTCCATTTAAGTCTTTGTCCCCCGCTCCCCATTAAGTATTGGCACCTTTGGGGAGCGGGTACCCAAATTTGACAGTACTCGCTCCTACTTCTGCTGCGATTGCCTAACACGATTGGTAGCAGAAATTGTCTCTCCCCCCCCCCCCCCTTCCCTTCCCGTAGACTACGGGGGTCCATTCACAAAGCACATCGCTTCATCAGCTGGAATCACTGCGATTCTGCCTGCAATCTGAGAATTCACTACAACCGCAAAACGCAGGTTCAGGTGTTATTTTCAGTGGCACCTAAAACGTGGTGCAGTTTTGCTGTGCAATTTACTGCGCTGCAAATCGCATTGCGTGAAGCTTGTTGCCCAAAAAGGAGCAGAAGCTTCTTTTGATTGACATACTTCATGCGATGTTATTTGCTACTATTGTGTGATTTACTGCGCAGCAATTTGCATTGCGTGAACCTTGTCACCCAAAAAAAAAAACTTTATTTTGGGAGACAAGCGTCAATACAATTTGCCGTGTGACAATCGTGACAAAACCGCACCATGGTTTAGGTGCCATTGAAAATAATGGGACATGAACATTTCTTTTGCGATTCTGATCCTAAAATGCTCTGGAGTGAA